CGAAGCTACTGCATGGTACTGGCACAAGGGGGAATGGCCAAGGGCCTAGGCGAGAACCAATCTGGGACAATGGCACACAAAATGCGGCGCGTGAAAGTACCTCGGATTACCTCAGGTTGCGTACAGGGCCAGGGTCGAAAACGACCCCGAAGCCCAGGGTTAGTGTCACCTGGCAGCCAAAAGACCCGACTTCATCTCCAGAGGAGACCAAGCGGATACTGCACAGGGTTGCAGAGCGCTACTTGGGCTGACTGACGGGAGCTGGACTTTGCCATAGGCCCCAGGCAGATGGCAAAAATCTGCTGTCTCGTACGTGTTCGGGGAGGTGACCTCCTTGTCCATGTTGAGCACACTTGGGCTTGAAGGACTCTTCCTGGGCAGAATCAGGGTTTTAGGCTTGGGGTGTCAAGATAAGCCATTCTCGACGTGCGACTGATGAAGGACAACAGCAACACGAACAACAGCAATAAGTATGATGATCATGACGGTAAAAAAGCCAGAATCACCATATTTCTAACCACAACATGATGAAGACCATCAGCACAACAACGGCAAGCATCCAAACAACTTGCTATTGAGCATTGTCAGAATTTCTAGATGAGGATGAACCTGAGTAGAAATATGAACATTCTTGCTCTCGCTGGTCTTACTTGTTCTAGTTTTGCTACTACCCCGAATGCAGAATATCATCATGACTACACACACACACACACTCTCTCTCTCTCTCTCTCTCCCTCTCCCTCTCTCTCTCTCTTTCTATCATGTATCTTTACATATATATATATACATATATATATATATATTTATTTAGATTCATATCCGTAATGTATAGATAATATAACCTATCAATCTGGCAAGGTTCAGCAGACTCAGGTGCTCCAGGAGATCTGCAAAGTCCTCCGAATCGGTGGCGCCTGCGGACTCGAAGGCCTCCTTGGCAGCCTGAAAACTCTCCTCCACGCTGCCTCAGAGAGGCAACTGGGAGTTTGGGTTTAGGGTTTAGGGTTTAGGGTTTAGGGTTGAGGGTTTAGGTTTTTTGGGTTTAGGGTTTAGGGTTTCGGGTTAGGCTTTAGGGCTTAGGGTTCAGTTATCCTCCGTATGTGGGTATAGGGTTCAGGGTTTATGAGATTCAGGGTTTAGGGCGTAACGTTTGGGGCGTAGTGTTTCCCAGAGCATTGGGGTGCTTCCATGACTTGAATGGTAGCAATGTCGAATGGAAGGGGCGCAAGGGAGTTCTAACTTCTGTTCAGGGGCACCAGGAACCCTAAACCCTAAACCCTAAACCCTAAACCCTAAACCCTAAACCCTAAACCCTAAACCCTAAACCCTAAACCCTAAACCGCAAGCAGGGAATGATTTTGAACAAGCCCCCAGCTCCCCCAACCGGCACATGATCCTAGGTGTAAGGGCGCAAGGATGCTGCAAAGCACGCTCAGTTTGTCTTTGGGGGCCTAAGGTTTAGGGTTTAGGGCTTAGGGCATAGGGTTTAGGGTTTAGGTTCGAGACAAGCTTGCTCTTGCTTGTGCAATTCGTTTGTTTCGTTGCAGAGGTGGGAAGCGGAGCTCCTTGTCTCCTGAATCTTGGCGAAAGACTCCACACTTCCAAGGGTTGTTGAGATTTTTGAATGAAAGTCCTGTTTGCGCCGATAGGGGCCATTTAAGGGACCCCCGCCTGAAGCCAGAACACTCCCAGCCGCCCGTTGCCGCTACCACACAACGAGTTTCATAGAGACCCGCAGCAGTCCCTTAACCATCCGGGGCTGCCCCGAGCCCAAGCCCGAACTCCATAAGAGAACCGAAACCCGAAACCCGAAACCCTAGACCCTAAACCCGAAACCCTAAACCCTAATTGGTTGCTCGGCCTGACCACCTACCTCGGAGCACAGTGCTTGCAAACCCCTCCCCTTCAGCCCTGAACTCCCTCAACACTAAACAAACCCTAAACCCTAAACCCTAAACCCTAAACCCTAAACCCTGAACCCTAAACCCTAAACCCTAAACCCACCCTAGCACATCAGGGCCGGCCTGTGACGCCTTTCAATGGCGGGACGGCGTGACTCGCTGCGAGCCCTTCGGTTGCGAGGGCGATGTCGAAGCACAGCCGTGCGTAGTGGATGCCTTTGTAGGGGTTTAGGGTTGAGGGTTTTAGGGTTTTAGGGCTTTAGGGTTTTAGGGTGTTAGGGTTTTAGGGTTTAGGTGTTAGTCTGTTGTTTGAGTTTGGCTCTTTGTGGTTTTTGGGTTCAGGGTGCCTAGAACCAAAAGTCTTGCAATTAATCCAGAACACAACCTTAAGACTGGAGACCCTCAACAGGCATGAAACATCACCAAGGCCTGCATGGTTACCCTAAGCCCTAGACCCTGGACTTTCAGGGTCTAGGGCTTCAGGGATTTGGAGCTTCGGGATTCAGGATCTGGCGAAGTGTCAGAGCATCACCGGAGCCGAGTGGTGGAAGATCACAAAACGGATGCGGGTTTGTAGGGTTCAGGGTGTAGGGTTTAGGGTTTCGGAAGGTTTCAAGGACAGCTTAGGCCGCATCCCTGCCAATCCAGCTATCCACAGCATTCATCCAACTGAAAGCATCTTCTTTTGCCGAAAATCCCCAGTGTACCTGCGAGCCCTCGGCGCAGCATGTCAGTTCAAGCAGGCAGGACCTAGCCACAACAACCCCAGATGTTTCGGCCCAAACCCCAAGTCGTGGTTTTTGTGCTCGTCCCGGTCCCCTATCATCCCTGGCAATCTTTTGGGCTTGTGGTGGCCCAGGTGTAGGGTGTAGGATCCTTTCAGGTCAAACGTTAAACTCTAAACCCTCAACCCCTAAACCCTAACCTCTAAACTCCTAAACTAAACTCTAAGCCCGGATTGTGGGCGTGTTTGGCCAGAACGGGGCTTCGAACAGCCCTGCCAGTGCACCGAGGGCCCTTGAAGTGGTCTTGAAAGGGTCTAGGGTTGAGGGCCGTGAGGCTTTAGTGACTCTAGTGCATAGGGTTGAGGTATCCATTTAGGGTTTAGGGTTTAGGGTTTAGGCCAGCTTAGAAGTAGGAAGCCCACAAAGAGCTCTTGGCAAACAAGATGCTCTGAAGAGAGCCGGTGGCTTGATACACGTTGCGAGCCTTGCGGTGAGCGCGTCAAGGATTCAGGAAGCGTAAGTCTTTGTAATGTGAGTCTAAGTTAGCAAGATCTGCCAATTTGGCCTTCGCGTTTTTTGATTATTATAACCCAACCCCCCGCGGAAAGTCCCCAAAGCCCCGAAAAGCCAACCCTAAACCCCGAACCCTGAAAAAGCCTTAGGGTTTAGGGTTTAGAGTTTAGGGTTCGGGGCTTATGCAACCCCGCATCAAAACGCAAGCTTACCCTGCCTTGGCGTACATGGCCAAGGCATCTTCGAAGCGCCCCTCCTCCAGGGTAGTCGGGTTTCTTTGAGCGCGTACACTCTATTTTTGGGAGTCAAGCGAAATGAGGGGTAGCTTGTTGAGGGCCCTTTTTCTAAGGGAATCCCACTATTTGGGGGCTCTATACTGGGGGTCCCCTCATGTTTGCAAACCCCCATATCAGTCCTGGACCTTGAAGTCCTGAACCCTAAATCCTAAACCTTAAACCCCAAACCCCAAGCCCTAAACCTTGAAGTCCGAAACCCTAAACCCTAAACCCTATAAACGCTAAACCCTCAACCCTAAACCCCAAGCCTTGAAGTCCCAAGGCCCCCATGAACCACCCGTCAAAAACGGCGGCTCCTCGGCGAAGTTGGCACCCAGATTTGTCAGGAGGCTCGCGTAGAGGGGTGTCCGGAGGGCGCCGGCAGCCTTTCTGAATTAGAGGGGTGTCTGGAGGGCCCCGGCAGCCTTTCTGAATTTCTGGGTGGTTAGGGTTTAGGGTTAGGGTTTCGGGCTTAGGGTTTAGGTTTTAAGGTTTTAGGGTGGTTTAGGGTTTAAGGTCTAGGGTCTAGGGTTTAGGGTTCGAGTTCTAGGGTTTGCAGGGGTTGAAGGCTGATTTCGGAGGGGTTTCGGATGGAATCTAGACCCTGCAGTGTGGCGACTGTTCAGGGGCATTCGGATTGAGAGCCCATGCAGCAGTATTGCTTGATTCGTAGGGTTTAGGGTTTATAGGGTTTAGGGTTTAGGGTTTAGGGGGTTTGGGGTTTCGGGGGTTTAGGGTTTAAGGGGTTTAGGGTCTATTGGGGCAGGACCATCCACAGATACTGAGCCATCAGAGGCGCCATCACCAACCGAATCCATAGTACATGGTCCCAAATTACTCGAACCCCAAACTTAACCCAAAACACTTTGGGAACGTGTTGGAAACCCACTTTGGGAATCCCCCCCAACCCTGAACCCTAAACCCTAAACCCTAAACCCTCCAAACCCAGCCTCACAGGCACGGCAGGCCAGCATGTAGTGCTCCTGCGCCTTGGCCTCTTCGCCCTGACATCTGTACCTGCACCCAAGCTGTAGGGTTTAGGGTTTAGGGTTTATGGTTTCGGGTTTAGGGTTTCGGGATGTTTGGGGTATTCCTTATTCAGTTTTACGTACCCGTAAAAATGCAAAAGGTTACTCCCCTATGACAAAGGTTTAGGGTGTTGCGGGCTAGGGGCCTGTATAGGGCCCGATGAAGGCCCGTGCAGGGCGTTTCGGGTTTAGAGTTCGGTATTTTTGGTTTATTAGGAACAAAGTAACCTCCGGATGCTTCCGGATTCGCGCTTTTCGGCCTGCAACCTGCAAAAGTCTTGAATTGGCCTATGGACCCTAAGAGCCCCACTTAGCGTCGCCCAAGCGGACGACGCCATCCCAGCGAGGCCACTGACGAATATTGTGCTGCCACCAGCCACACTGCGGGCACTGGTTGGAGATCCGCGCGTTGCCATGCCTTTCGCCATGGTGCGCATCCAAATCACTACATGCCACGTGGTCGATCGGGCCGTAGCTGCAGCGCCCGCACTGCACAGCATTGGGCATGCTGCGGAGCAGGGCTTCTCGGAGACGCTCGGGGTCTTGATCTGCCTGCCGGTACTCCCTCTGCCATCGCTGGTGATTCTCATCCGCTTCAGCTGTGACTTGGAGCTGTGACCAAAGGTCCGATGGCACCAGCGGTCTGATATCGTCAAGCTGCAGCCATCCTTGGCAGTTGGCGCGGTTGGGACAACGCACGCAATGCCGAAAGGCACGCCTCTCCATCAGGCGCCTGCCGCTCGCTTCATCAGCCTCCAGCTCGCTGCGCACATACTGTGGGAGGCAGCCTGAGCACAAGAAATGCCCGCTTCTGGGCTCACCGCGGCCCCTGCAGCACTCGATGCCCTCAGACGCTGGCTCCATGCAAACAAGGCAAGTAAGGCGAGCTGTTGGCATTGTCCGGGCGGCTGGGGCGGCTCCTGGGATCTTCGTGGAGCATCGCACGGCCATGGCCAGCTGCTCGCGGAAGAGGCGCTCCGCCTCTGCAGTTCGGAGTGACTCGGCCAGGACCGCCCTCAGCTCGTCGTCATCGTCGTCTGGCATCGGCAGCACGTTCCTGCCCAGCCGCCGGGCGGAGCAACGCCATCCCCTCTCCAGCCACTCGGGCCGGCATCCCTGGCAGAGGCAAGCCATGGCGGAGTTGGAAGGACGAGTTCGGGTCTGAGCGAAAAAAGCTCGCAAGACGTGGGCGCGCTCTGCATGAGCAATGAGTCGATCTGTCCTGTCTTGATCAGTCCTTTGGGTTGACTGGATGCAGCCCCTGAAGCCCCTATGTGCCATGTCCCAACCCGTACAAGCTACCGATGGTGATTTTTGTACCTCCTTCGCAGGACCCCTCTTACCTCAGAGCCAAAACCCTCACCTAAGCCCCCAGCCGCAAAAGCCCTGATCCGACAAACCCTAAACACAACATTATACCCTATATAAACCCAAACAAACCCCAAAATATCGATTGAAACCCCCTGACCCTCTATGCAAACCCAAAACAAACCCCTATAAACCTATGGCAATCCCCATCTAGACCCTGTATACCTACCCCTCACCGGTGCCATATAAACCCTAAGTCAACCCTGTAAAGTAAATCAACCTTAAATCAACACTATGTAACCCTATTTACGCCCTAAATCAACCCCATACACGAACCCTAAACCCTAAACCCTAAACCCTGAACCCTGAACCCTAAACCCTAAACCCTAAACCCTAAACCCTAAACCCTGAACCCTAACCCCGAAAGCCCCGTCGAGTCACCAGGAGGCCATGCTCCGCAGGAGGAGCGCGTACGAGCTGGAGCCGGAGGTGCCGACTGCCTTTCAGGGTTTGGGGTTTAGGGCTAGGGTTTAGGGTTTCGGGCTCGGGTTTAGGGTTTAGGGTTTAGGGTTTAGGGTTTAGGGTTCAGGGTTCTGGGTTTCGGGTTTAGGGAAGTTGAGGGTTTAGGGCATGGGGCCACGGTGCCCCCCCCCCCCCCCCCCCCCCCCCATGGCTTTAAAGTTGCTGGGCTCGAAGCGAAGGTTTAAGGTTTGTAGGGTGGGATGTTCCCCCTTATACTGACAGTCCTTAAATTGGGATTCTAGGCCCCCCCCCCCCAGTATAATCCCTATTACGGACTGTTAGTATGTGGGGAAACATCCCATTTTACAGGGTGTCTTGAGGCTGAGCCCAAGTTTCCCAAACGTCTTCCTTGAGCTTCAGCATGCTTTGCTGATGCACGGAAGGTGCTGAGGCTTTAAACTTTGTAAGCCTAAACCCCAAACCCTGTAGGATTTAGGGTTGTGCTTTGTTTGTGGTTTTCTTCCGGCCCGAACACGGAATACCTGCCTGTCATGGCCTCTTGGTCAGAGCAGCCCTGATATGATCCCGCGTTTGGATATTTGGGGGCACCTCTGTGTTACGGACAGGAATATAGTATAAGAAGAAGACAAAATATGCACATCAGTGACCTGACAACAGTGCTGAACCTTATCCCAAACCGCCCCAACCTCCACTCCAGGACCAAGAGTAACCTAGGAATAAAGAGTGCCCTTCTTGCTTGAAAAGGTGCTTGTAAGGGAACCCAAACCCTAAAAAAGGACCCTAAACCCTAAACCCTAAACCCTAAACCCTAAACCCTCAACCCTACTCGCTGGGTCCCAGTGCACCTCAGGATCACCATCTGACGTTTCGAAGTCCCTAAGCCCTAAACCCTACACCCTAACCCCTCAAACCTACCCTGGGTCCCAAGAGGTCCGACCTCAAAGGCGGCCTTTGCCTGGAGCATCTTCTCCATGGCCTTCACTGGAATTCACTGAAGGGTTTCAAGGGTTTAGGGTTGTGCATGTAGGGTTTAGGGTTTATAAGGTTTAGAGTTTAGGGTTGAGGGTTTGAGGTTTACGGCTCCCGCCCCCTCCGCCCGCCCCGCCCCCGCAAAACAGCCAACAGCTGAGGCTCAGAAGCCAGGCTCGCCTCGTCCACCAGGCCAATCCGTGAATAAAGCGAAGCCATCCCTGATCAGAGAGGCTTTGTAGGGTCTAGGATGCCTGGTGATATATGTCTCTGCATCTCTATACGTATATACGTGGTGTATATGTATTTACATGTATTATTACTCCTTATACATTGCGTTTGCTTGTTTAATGTCTGCCGTTGACAGTGCAGCGCTAAACTGCCCATGCACATGGGAAGCTCCACCCTAAACCCTAAACCTAAACCCTAAACCCTAAACCCTAACACCCTAACACCGAACACCTAACCCCACGGCATGCTGCCTTGCAGGAGCCGCGCGTACTCTTCCGTGTCGGTGCGCTCTGCGGCCTGGATGAGGGAACCCTCCCCCTACTGGGGACTAGATAAGCCTTATCCAATATTATCAGTCTCCCCCCCCACCAGCACATGTCAAAGGACTAAAGGAGGGACCCTTATAAGGGGCCTCAGGGAGGGTTATTTAGGGGCTACTTAGGTACGAGTACATAGGGACGATACAAGGTGCACAGAGGTTTATATGGGGGAATCAGAATAAGGGCCTCTTCTTGGGGTCTCTCCTTCTACCCATAAACATGATGCCTGAAAGGCAGCAGCCGCTTCGGAAAACTTGAGCAGCGCCGACTCGGTGTCACCCTGTCAAGGGTTGAGTGCAACCGAGGTGCGGTCGAGTCTTTGGGTTTAGGGCTTGGGAGTCAGGGATACATGAGAACCCCACTCACAGGAACAACCTTAGGGGTGCGGTGCTTCGCCTTTTGTGTGGGAGGTGCCATCCCAACCCTAAACCCTAAACCCTAAACCCTAAACCCTAAAACCTAAACCCTAAACCCTAAACCCTAAACCCCCAAGAAGGGCCCCTCCGCGCCTGCTCGGCCAAGGAGTTTGCCATGTGAACCAGCAGCCCCAGGTAGTCCATGTTGCTAGTTGCCTTAAAGGCTTTACCATGGGAGGGTTGGGGGGTTTAGGGTTTAGGGTTTAGGGTTTAGGGTTTAGGGTTTAGGGTTTAGGGTTTAGGGCAACTTAACTGCTTCGTGATTAGGGCAAACGGAGTTTGCTCCAAATCCAAATCTGTGACCCCTTTGTCTTTGGGGGGAGCGGGGAGGTTCTTTGATGATACAAGGTGAAACGGTCAGAACCCTAAAACCCCAAAGCCCTAAAACCCAACCGTAAAACCCTAAACCGAAAACCCTAAAATCCAAAACCCCCAAAACCCTAAACCCAAAATTCCAATACCCCTAAGAATCCAAACCCCTAAACCCTAGTTAAACCCTAACGCGAGAATCCAAAACCCCTCGCCGTGCCCCCGCCCCCCCCTCCCCCCCTGGTCCCTGCCCCCCCCCTCCCCCCCCCCCCCCCCCCCCCCCCCCCCCTCTCCCCCCCCCCCCCCCACATGAGCCCGGCCTCCGCGCACTCCAAGGCCATCTGGGCCAGGTTGAAGAGCCTTTGAAGGGTTTAGGGTTTAAGGTTTTCTGGAGAAAGTCATCTGGGTTTGGGTTTTTTTGGGGGGATTTTAGGGATTAGGGTTTTCGGTTTCGGTCGGTTGAATGAGTTTCGAATAGGCGCCCATTCTGAGCTCAGCCCTAAACCCGACACCGGGGCTCTTAGGCGTTCTGGTGCTCGCACTATGTGGATTCAGTCTCTGCAGCCATAAGAAGCCCTATGCCGGATGAGCCCCAAACCCTGAACCCCTGAACCGGTTGCCCAAGCCCCTAGACACCTAAACCAAGCCCCCTCCCCTTATGTGGGGTTTCGTAACGCTCCAATCCCGCTTGTCCCGCTATACCCTTACTCCCAGGAGCTCCATGGCTTCGACGAAGGATTTCCTGCGACGATAGAGGCCTCGATGGCGAGTTCAGTGATCGAGGGCTTGAGTTGAGGCTTTTGGAGTTTTGGGGCCTTGGGGGTTTAAGGGCTTAGGGTTTGGGATGTTCCCCCTTTTATGCTACCAGTCCTTAACAGGGATGCTGGTAACCCCCTATAACCGTAGAATCCCTACTAAGGACTGTTAGTAAAGGGGGGAACATCCCAAGGCTTGGGGTTTGCGGTTTGGTGTTGGGGTAGGTAGGAGCACAACGTGTCTCTAAACAACCCCGACTTTCGGCGAGTGGCTGCCCATGCTCATCAGAAGCCCAGCATAGGCTGGTGAAGTGCGGTTGTTTTCCGTCGCTTCGTAGGTGTGCCTGCATCAGGTCCGAGCACGATCCGAAAACCAACATATACCCTCAGCCCTAAATCCATTCTGTGCATACCAGAAATCTCAATGGGGAGCTGCACCCAAAAATCTTTGAACTTTTGGTAACTTAAGATTTGAAGTGCGACCTCTTCGAGGGCTGAAGTGCGCCCCGCTCGCAGAAGCTATGCCAATCAAATCCGAACTCCCTGGCTTACTCCGCTCAAGTGGTGGCCCTCAGGGCGTGTAAAAGCAACGCCTCAGCTCAAGGCTTGGTTCCCCCGACATATGGGTAGTTCTCAATGTCAAAAATTTGGGCTGTTGGGGTGCTGTATTGTATGGACCCCAAAACGGCCCCAAATCTTGTGAACCGTCCGACATCTGTTCTACACTATCCCTGGTTTAAGTGCGTGTATCGGTGCGGAGCACGGACGTCTTCCTTTCCGTCCATTACGCTTCGATGAGTCGATGCTGAGAAAGGTTGGGCGTGAGGAGGTTTGGGGTTGGGGTTTGGTGGGTTTAGGGAACCACGCCGCCGGCCACTAACAAAAACATCGCTCCAAAGCTCCAACTACTGTAAACCCTGTGGCCTCAGATTCCTGACTCTTTTGCTTTGAGTTCGAGCGATTCTTGCGCAATGCCCCAACATCAAGCCATCAAAAAAGAGACAAAAGCCCTAAACCCCCTAAACGCCCTAAACCCATAAACCCCCCTTAAACCCCCTTAAACCCCCTAAACCCCCTAAACCCCCTAAACCCTAAACCCTAACCCTAAACCCTAAACCCTAAACCCTAAACCCTGAACCCCCTAAACGCCACACTCTTCGGTCATCCCTCTGGCCTGGCGATCACAAACTTGGCCATCGCTTCGTCCTCACAGCCCTGCTGCACGAGCCACTTGCCCATGCTGGTGAGGAGGCCTCTCAAAGGAGAGCTCCAGACTCCATATTGATCTAACGACTATGATGCTACAAGAACAGGTTCACTTAAGAGTATAAGAATGCATAATAGACTAGCAAAACAGTATGAGTACAAGAAAATGAACTAACTACTATGTTTACAAGAAATCGTTTCAGGACGGTTGTCGCCGCCGACTGTCAAAGCCAAGGCTTCACTGGGTTGACCTTCTAACCCTTCGAAAGCATAAACTTAATGAAATATGATCCTTCTACAAACGAGAAGGGAGAATGTCCTAACATCCCAATGTTTAGGGCTTAGGGTTCAGGGCCTACCCCATTTCAGAGCTGCAACAAAAAAAGCCTTTGCCTGCGTAGTTGGTTGTTCGAGTGGCGCCGGCAGACACATACTGGGCCTCTGCTTCCTTATACTTCTCCATGGCCTCTGTGAGCAATCCTTGCTCCATGTACCAGATGCCCATATTCTTGAGCAGCCCTGCATACTCTCGCGAGGCACTAACGTCCTCCTTCCGGTACACCTTCTGGGCCTCGGTGTACTTCTGCATCTCCTCAGTCTTCCTGTTTTGCATGCCATACCAAATGCCCATCTGAGCTAGAAGGTTTGCATACCCTGGGCATTCGGTGGCACGATCATCTTCGAAAGCGCGCTTCGATTCCAGGAACTTGCCCATGGCCTTCCCAAACCGACCCTGCTCGCCATAGCAAACTCCCATTCTCATCAACTCTTCGGCGGTCACTGACTCGCTCCTCTTACCTTCCTTGCCTTCTTTGCCTTCTCTCTTCTTTCTCCGCCTTGTGCGCAGATCTGACTCAGCAGAGCTCTCACGCTTGAGCACTGCCTTGTCCTGCCCGGCGAACTCTAACCTCCCCCACATGCCCAAGCCGCCCCACCAAACGATGCCTGACAGGGCAATGCCTACGGCCACGGAGGGCGTGAGCAGGGATGCGCCGACGCCCATGATGCGGCCGAGCTCGAAGCAGGATGGGAAAAGGCCGTTTCTTGGCTGCAGATCAACGTCTGCACGCTGAGCGGCAGGGATCTCTCTCTTTGCGCCCTGTCGGCTCGGGCCTTGCTACCCTCCTTTAGGAGGACCCGTATACCTGCACGGAAAATGGGAGCCTGGCTTGAGACGAGCAGCAGTGGTTCTGAGTTCTACCTTCCTGGCACTGCATTACTCCCTCCAACAGGCGCTCTTCAAGACATGGCTGTGCAGTCTTCAGCTTGACGACAGGCAACCTTTTCGGTGTGGGCTGTATCCTTCTTGGGTGAAACGCGAACCAAGTGCCTGGAAAAGCGCACGCAACCCAGCATCACACTTGGCAATGGTCCAGGTTCACTGCCCATGACAATGGCTTTGCACTCTGCAACACAACCTGGCCTGCACTAGAGCCTGAGTTGTGAGGGTGTCTCACGTATTTGTGTTGTGTGCGCTTGCTGATGTCGCCATCAGAAAACCATACATGCTAGGTCACCCCATGCGCTGACAGCTCAGGGTTTTCTGCTGCAGGGAGCATGCTCCGTTTGACGGGCAAGGTCTCCCACAGGTATGCGGTGCCTGGTGCTGTGAGGAGTACAGCGTTCAACCACATATCAGAAACAAAAAGCTGAAATCACTTGATAGGGCACAACATCGCGCCGGTCCTCACGAACAGCCATCGAACTCACTCCACTATAGACTATGCGAACGGCCGGGCCCCGGCAAGTGCCTCATAGGGCAGTCACAGCGAGATCACAGTCGTCTTTGATTGCTTGGATGGCTTCACGGCTTCGATGGCCGCCTTATTGATGGGAGCTGCGTCCTTGTCCTCGTCCTCTGGCTTCGCCTCCTCCACTTCTGCCCTCTCTGCGATCGGAGCCGACCGCGAAGAGGAGTAGCCCGACGGCCGTAGTCTCCGTGAGGGCCTACCGACTGCCTCACCATCCAGGTCACGGGCATAGGCCGAGCGCCCAGAGAAGTTCTTGTACATGGCAAGCTTGCTGGCATCGAAACTGATGGAAGATGTGGATATTTCACTGAGTCTCCTGACCATGAGCTCTCCCGTGTCATCAGAGTTGCTGGATGAAACTGCCCGCGCCACGGGGCCTCGCGCTGGAAAGCTCAGTAAGGGACTTGTGCCACTACTCCTCACTGACGAAGTTGACACATCCATTGCAAGCTGTGCCACAAAAACTAACCACCTGCCATTCGACCCATTGGAGAGGGTCGAGGTGGGGAGTCTCCTATAGCAGCCTTGTTTTGAGCCACAAGAGCATCCAAACACGAAGCATCCCAGACCTATTTTTTGCCCACACTGGACAGGCAAAGAGAACACTGCAAAAGCAAACTCTGCACAGTGCGCGCTGCTTGCATTTGCCCAGCCCCTTCGGCGAGATACCGGGACTACGCGTGCACGAAGGTGCCAGCAGCTTTGCTGCCAGCATCCTCGACCTGAACCCACAATGATGCACTTCTGCGGCCAGCACCAGCCATACCACCATCAACAAACTAGTCCAGTCCTAAAACCAAAGGCCTAGACGGGCACGTTGGCATCCGTCATGGATCAATCTTTCCATTGTCGTAGCGGTGGCAATCCGGGCTACGTACCCCTAAGACTCCCCTCTAAGCCCTAGTTGTCGTATATAGGGTTTATAGGGTTTAACATGGGTTATAGGGTATAAACCCTGCATCCCCCCTGATAACCTCTAAAGGTTGTTGGACAGCTGCACCTCAGCCACCTTGAGGTTCAGGCCACACCGCACTGTCGAGCATTGGCACAGCCATGGGCTTCGGTCAGGCATGAGGGTTTAGGGTCTACGGTCTAGGGTTTAGGGTTCGGGTTTAGGGGTAAGGGTAAGTAGTTGGTGCTGGCTATGGGCTACTGGGCATTTTGAGTAGTTTACAAGTATTTGAGGATAATGCTGGCTGGCAGATAGTCATTGCGTATCGGGTTGAGGGGCTTACGACCAGGAACTTTATCCTAGCTGGGTTGAGGCGCTAAGGCCCGAATCATACAGATTTGTCAGATAAAGCCATGGCATTGGCGCTGGTTTATGTAGCGCTCGGACATATCGACCCCAGACGAACTAGACCAATTGTAACCTACTCTGATTCCTATAGCTACGCCACGAGTGCGCCCTACTATTGTGGGAAGGGAGTTCTGACCGAGCCTGGCGACGAGTGAAACGCCTACCTGCAGACCTTGTACGAACATGACGGTGCTTCGGGCTCACTGGAACCCCTTAAGCGTGCATTCGCTTGAAATACATAAACATACCCTTAGTGTAGCCCTGTCGCTATACCTAATCGCCATAGCAGAGCCCGTGGTTACTTTAGTGTTCCAACGCTTGCGGGCGCGCATGCACGCACAAACACAGCGACACATGCGCCTGCACCTGTTTTGGGGTCCTAAACCCTATCAACCCGAAAGCCGAGTCATAGTCAAAGGGTGCTTTTCGCAAGCTCTTCGCAAGGACATGGTCCGCCGGCACCTGCACAGGCGTTGGATGAGGGTTTCGGCTTTATATTGTGGTGTCTAGGGCCCCAGAACAGTTTTAGGTATATGGTTCAGGGTCATAGGGCTTCGGGGCTAGAGGGCAAGTAAAAGGTTTTGAGGACTTACGCGCTGAAAGGTAGACCCTGTATATAAACCCTTTGAAGCCCTGATAGACACTAAAAACCGCGGAAACCGCGAAAACGAGAAGGAACCTGCCATAACGGAGACCCTACCAAAATAGGGTAAAGAGTTTGAGGCCCAAACCCCCTAACCCTGAACCCCATAAACCCTAAACCCTACCAACCCTAAGCCCTATGAGCCCTAAACCTTTTTGAACCCTAAACCCTAAACCCTAAACCCTAAACCTTACACCCTACAAACAAACCCTGCGAGCCCCGGGGCCGGTCTGGGGGGCCCTCTGAGTGGGGTCTCCACAAAGAGCAGGTTTTAGGGTTTAGGGTTTAGGGTTTTGGGTTTAGGGTTTAGGGTTTAGGTTCCTATCTCGTCCTAGGGTTTAAAGGGTACAGGGCTTAGGTTGGGATTTAGGGTTTAGAATTTAGGCTAGGGTTGAGAGCCAAGACTTGAGCCGAAACCCTAAACCATTCGAAGCCCCACAAGCCCCAAGCCCATACCTGAGTCCCTGCAATGCTCGACCCCTCGAGATTCGCCCTCCCACTCTGAGGGCATACTCTTTGAGCTGCGGTTTAGGGTTAGGGTTTAGGGTTTAGGACTTTAGGATTTAGGGTTTAGGGTTTAGGGTTTAGGGCTTAGCGTCCTGCGCGGGTATGGTTCTCGAATCTCAAACCCAGAGTTGCAGAGAAATTGCCCGCTCGGAGATCACACTTCCGAGCCCTGAAAGCTCCGTTTCTAAGCCTCAAAACCTAAACCCTAAAGCCTAAACCCTAAACCCTAAGCATAAACTCGAAACCCTAAACCCCAAACCCCAAACCCTAAACCCTAAACCCTAACCCTTAACCCTAAACGCTAAACCCTAAACCCCAAGCCCTGAACCCCAAGCCCTAAGCCCTAAGCCCTTCCGCGCCTAGGCTCCGACGGTGGCCTCCAGCCGGCGCATCTCGCGCTCCGCCGCGCCCGCGGAGGCGCGAAGCACGCTGGCCTGAGTGACAAACTGTCGGTTAGTAGGGACTGGTTTAGGGTTTAGGGTTTAGGGAATAAGGTACCGTATGTAATCCCTTAAAACGGCTATATAGGGGATTTGTGGCACCTTATTCCCCTACCAACGGTAAGGTGAGGTACCAGCCCAAGCCCCTGGGAGGATCAAAAAGTAAAACCCCAAGTAGTACTCCAACCTCTTATAGAGTCCCTATATACCGAAGCAGCCACCAAAATAAGCCCTAAAGAGTTTTTGAGGTTAAGGGTACCACCTTCAGTCCCTTGACCCTCTGCAGCTGATTGGGATCAGGACTGGGCTCCCTTAAGCCCTAAATACCCTGGATTGGGGGGGAGTTCCGGATAAAGGGACTCCCCCAATCCCTGGGCATCTTCGGTTCTCTTAGGGGAGGGGTCTAGGGTTTCGGGCTTAGGATTTAGGGTTTAGGGGGGTGCTTCCTAGGAGGACTCCTCGGCATGCTCGTATGAAGTGACACGAGAAGGTATAGAAGAGACTGGTAGAATCTTACATTGCGCGCGGAAACAGGGACTGCGCACCGCTAAACCCGCTAAACCCGCTAAACCCGTGGCGCACCGATAAACCCGCTAAACCCGCTAAACCCGCTAAGCGCACCGATAAACCCGCTAAACCCGCTAAACCCGTGGCGCACCGATAAACCCGCTAAACCCGTGGCGCACCGATAAACCCGCTAAACCCGCTAAACCCGTGGCGCACCGATAAACCCGCTAAACCCGCTAAACCCGTGGCGCACCGATAAACCCGCTAAACCCGTGGCGCACCGATAAACCCACTAAACCCGCTAAACCCGTGGCGCACCGATAAACCCACTAAACCCGCTAAACCCGTGGCGCACCGATAAAACCCGTGGCGCACGGCGAAACCCGAGCCAAAACACCTGCTGCGCACCGACCGATAACCCGATCCGTCCCTTGCTGACGGTCGCTGACGCTCTTCGCGCTGCGTGTTGCAGTGGGACTAAGCGCAGGAAAGAAAGACACGGGGGCGCGAACCATTTCGAGGGTTCTCTAAGGGTTCATGGTTTTTCAGGTTTTTTTAGGGTTTAGTGACGTTTTTTTGGGGGTTCTTGTTTTGGTATGTTTTGCTGGGAACCCGTTTCGTTTTTCTTTGTCTTTGGCGACAGATCCGCTTTTACAGGACACCGCAACAAAAACATGATTTCATTTTTTCGTGCTTTGTGGAAAGCAGGGGAAACGGGCGGAGGGGTGTGAACCCTTTTGGGAAGGCTCATGATTTTGGACATTTTTTTGGCTGCGTGATTTTTGTCGTGTAGGCTGGCTGATTTAGCATGTCTTGGGAATGCTCACTGTAAATCTTTTTTGGGGGGCTACATAT